GCAGGTCTACACTACTTTAAACGGGAAATTGGCTATGTCTATACGTCTTTTTTTTATTTATTTTTTTTTTTTTATAATACACACAACTCAATGTGGCGTGTTCAGAAATGTTCAATGGGAAGCAGTGTATTTTTTTTATAGTAAATAATATAATATAATAAAAAAACGGTCATCGTTTCACTACCTTTATAATTTGTTGCCGCAGAGTGCGTGTGACATCATATTATCGTCATCCCCGGTAGGTCGTGTGCGCCACTCGGAAAAAGGCATTTTTGCGCGTTTTGCAAAAAAAAAAAATACAAAAAAACCTTATCTTAACTATTTCCGGTGTGACAATATATAAGTATATATAATACGCTCACTAGTCACACGCTGCTATATGCCAGTGATATGGGTGTTCTTTTGTTGTTTTACATAGTATATAATATTATGTGATTCTATTATATGGCACGTATAACATTGATTTTTTTTACATCTTTAGTTAAAGCCATAATAAAAAAATATATGTATATATTTATATATATATATAAAACTTCACGGCGTAACCAACCCAAATATTAGTATATTAATACGTTTAAGGTTAAAAAAAAAAAATGTAACCCCCAGTGTTACATACATAATATAATGATTTCCTATACCAGTAGCGTATATAATGTATATAATTTTTTTATTGAGTTTTTTCAAATACTATATTGTAAACTCTACACGGTACGTTGAATTGCGTAAATAAATTCCGGTCGCTTTTTTTTTTTGTTCGCGCGTTCGCAAAATAGACAAGCAGAACCCTTAAAATGACCATAATGCGGTTAAAAAACGTAACAAATCCTGCTGTGTTAAAAAACAGCATATTTTTTTTAAAAGATATAAAAAAAAAATAGTATACTCGGTCTCGGTCCTAACGCTTTGTAGGCAATGCGGTAGTTATTTCGGACCCTAAACTATACCTACATACATGCAGACTGATGTAGCCTTTTATAATGCCAAATTCGAATATTGTATGGTTTAAAATTATTCCATAAAAAATTTCGAATTATACATAGGTAATATATTTAGTGCCTAGTTCACGCAACATGATATTTGTTCGAGAATATTCGAAATCGCCATATAATATTAAATCAAGAGTTAACGCGGATCTCTTCCTTTAATAATATATAGGTTTTTTTTTACTACCGATAGTGGTAAGCTATTGGTAGATACTGATAACTGCTATCGTAGCTGCGCTGTTCATAAACTACTAGATACTAGATAGTAGACAGTACCTAATACTATCAGTGAAACAACTATTATAATCGTCTATAAAGTCGTTGATAGTTCGGACAACAACAATAGTCGAATGACAAATTATTTGTTCAAAAGAACTAGTTATTCGTTTACTTTAAAACATCACTATCTCACTAGCTAAAGAGTAAAGGGAAGAGGAGTTACTCCATCCCTCTGCGCAGTACGACGTTCCATATTTCACAAAGTATCAAATATCTATAACTCCTTAGACATAATTTCGTAAAAAAAATTGTCTTATCAATTATTATTATTATTATTACATTTATTATCTTATTACGTATATACATCGAAATTTGTTTTGTAACCATATACATAAAATTATCGATCATCTTTCCCATCACTGCATGCGTGATCTCAAACTCTCGCGGCATATCGTCACGATCAGTATAAACAAATACGAGTTTAATAAAAAAAAAAATAAATACAATTTGAAAACCAGTATTACAGTAGTAAAAGACAGGACAGTCGGCTACATGTGTCTGGACGTTTTTTTTTTTTTCTAACTTTACACCGCGTTCCCACCGGCCATTACTACGCGTTTTCTGTCGGTCGGTATACCTTTATAATATTATACTCGTATTATTATAAAAATATATTCCACAATACTCTAACGAAATTCGCGGGTGTTTAACACCACTCGTAGTGTTATTATTATTGTCTTGGCGTAGAGTGAATGATTTACGGCCAGAAAGGGCTCGTCTCTATACAGCGGTCTTTTGTATACGGCACGAGGTAGGTACACACACATAATATGGTAGCGTGGGGTTGATCGTCGCGTCTGTACATGGCTGTCCAATTAGCCGGTGCGCGTGGGCGTCCCGGCTTTTCCTTTTCCCCGTGCCAGTGAAGGATTTACGACCGTTTTGACGCGCAACAAATGACGCTTAATTTATAAAAAAAAAAAAATTTTAAAAAATAATACAAATCCGTACGCGTTTATATAGGTGTACGTATATTCGGCGCGGGTATTTACAATAACAATGAATATTACACAGTCTCGATATCAATTAAACGCCGGTGTGTTGCAGGCATTTCGACGGTGATTTATGTGAAGTCCGAGAACGGGTATTCCGTCTTATTACGACTCCGCGGTGCTTCTCTTTTTTTCATTACTATTATTTTTTTTTTTTTTTTTTTGATCCCGAGTATCCGCTGGTGGATTTATTTCGAACCGAAAACCCGCCGCCGTAAACTCGACCGACACTGAAGTATACATATATATATATTATAAAAACGTCCTTGCATAAAGATGCAAGGACGTGCTCAAAGAGAAGTGGGATATAGATACTTCCTCCTCTTCCTTTGAACATTTTTTTTCTTCTAATAACTGATTTTTGATTGACGAATTTCCTGTAATCATTATCTTGTTCGTATTGCTATTGATTTTCGGCGATGGCAATATTCAATAAAAAAAAAAAAAAAAACCATCGTATTAAATATCACTAGTTTACTTGTTCACTATCATCATAATATTATTATGAGACAGCTTTATTTTTCAACTTTACAACAGCTTAACCTGCGTTATTTCTGTAGATTATTATATATACACATAATTATATTACATAAGACATAACGCATTATTACGACTATATTGGTATCTAAATTCATTTGTCTCCAGATCCGGATTGACTCCAGAGTCATCCTTATGTGAGAGGGGTGAGCAGAGATAATACCTTAAGTCTCGTGGTTATCATTTAAATTTGGGGCCTCGCATTCGAAAAAGTATACGAATTAAAATATGAAAATATTTTAAATTTGAGCACCAACAATTTTATAAGAACATTTCAAACATTTCATTACTTGTATACCAAATAACATGCTACGTATTTTATAACATAAAATGTTTGTATGTGCGTTGTCATCGGAAAAATCGTATGAGTGTACAATGTACACTGTATATTCACGAATTATGTACGGGACTGGATATCACAGAACCCCCTTTATTGAAGCGAAAATAAACTTCCACCAGAGTGCAGACCCTTAGAATTTAAATTTCAATAGATCTATGTTTTTTCTTCTATAAATCCTAAAATATGTAATTTCTCGTAGATAATCAATATATATTGCCGCCTCGCCATTTTCAATATGAAAAATGATTAAAACGTATAAAAACACTATTATTATTGAAATATCACGCTTTATCATGCCGTTAAATTTATGCTGTGATTTATCTTTTGTAGGGAAAGTATTATGTTTTGAATAGCAAATATTCAACAGCGTGTTTTAATTTAATACGATTTTGTTGTCAAAATATTCTATGCAACGTGATAATAAACCTATCTATATAAGTATTAATTCAGTAAATTGTATGTTTTTAAAAACATATAAATTCAACGAGTGATTAAACAAAATTTTGATTTAAAATTGATTATTTTAATATTTATAATATTTCGTCGTTTAATAAAAAACGTTTAAAATAATAATAAAAAAATTTCCGATAATTTTTTTAAAATGAAAATATTATTACATCAAAACCACATTACAACGTTTTATCTATTTTTTACGACGTTATAAAAATAATATTAGTGTAGGTGATCGTGTATATAAGCAAATAAACATTTTTATCGATATTTTTTGAATTTTTTAAATTAAATAGCATGCCTAAGCTTATATGTATATAAAAGTTCTTTATTTAAATCTCTCTGTTCAGTGAACGATGTTAGTTCATGTGATAAAACAACTGTCCAAGATTATACTATACCACAAAACCATAAAAGTACCCTCTTTAATATATTTTAAACTCTCTTAAGACTTGAGGGATGTGAAGGAGGTGAGGAGCGAGGAATGTATTGGTTTTACAATGATATTTAATTTTTTTCTATAGACAACTTTTCTACAAGTAATTTTGCTCCGATTTACAACCATAGCATTTTTTCTAAAAGTAAATCTGACTGGGGAGGTACTTTAAGATGGTCATTTTTTGATTTTTCTAGGATTTTTCCCAATAAATGGGAAAAAACTGAACAAAAGCTGGAAAATGTAAAAAATGTAGGTATTGATTAAAAAGTATTACGGCTTTTTTTTTCCTGTGAACAACATTTCTACCACACATTTTACTCTGATTTACAATGACAGAACTTTTTCTGAAAGGAAAACCAATTGCTTAGATCAAGAGACCATTAAAAGTAAAAAAAAAAAAAAAAAGGACAACCTTAATGTATAGTAATTACCACCGTGTGCATCGGGATTTAATACTATTATCGTCATGATTAGTACAGTATTATTATCATACTTATTAATTGTCCCTACAATTATATTTTGTATCTACTCCGTGGTGTATTCTATAAAAAAAAATTACGACCGAAATGTTGTAAGAATATTGAATTGAAATTATAGAAACTAGAAACCTAATATAATATTAATGTACGTGAATTTGCCCCCTCCACATTAATGTATCACCTCAAAAATTGTGTCAGTCTACTGTATATCTATATAAACTATATCAACTTGTCGACTTAAAATTGGTACCATTATTTTTTAACTAATTTGGAATTGTCTGCAACCATGTTTATAAAAATTGCAATCAATTATTTTCGCCACAAAATCAAATACATTAGGGTGAAGGGGTTGATACGTTTATGACAAATTAAGTTAGACAATTGACGTATTTACTATTGAGAACCTATATAATATTTCAAATATTAATTTTTTGCTTTTGAAGAGTAGTATTTTTATGAATTACCATAATTTTGTTTTTATCTAGATAAATAAATAGATAGATGGTTGCCCAATGGTTGCCGGTACTGTCGAACATAATACCTCCAGAACTGAGGAGGTTAATGAAGGGTCATCAGGAAGTAACAAAAGTAATGAACAACCCTGAACTACCATTATATAATGACATCATCTCACACCCCCAAAAAAGACTGAAGTCAAGACATCCTATCTGGGACCTGACATTCCCGAAAGAATCAATACCCGAGGTGTGGAAAAATCGTTGGAAAGATTCAGGAGTGCAAAACTCAACATTGATTGCAGACCCAATGATGAGAGTCCCGGGATTCAACCTGCCCAGACACTTATGGACAGCTTTAAACAGAGCTATGACTAATCAGGATAGAAGTAAAAGTCTCTTATATAAATGGAGTATGACCAATTCTCCCTTGTGTGCGTGCGGAGCAGAACAAACCATTCAACATGTCATTGAAGAGTGTCCTAACACTAAGTTCAACGGGGGTATAGCAAGACTCCACAAGGCTGAAGAGGATGTAGTAACGTGGATAAATAACCTGGAGTTTCGTTTGTGAAGACGTTTATGTATGATAACCTGAGTAATATTTCATTTGGAATTTGTCATCCCTCTAAACACTAGTTATAACTGTAGTTACCTTGTTATGTTATGTTATGTTACGTTGATGTTTTATATTGTTACTTATTTACGTGCTGTTAACATACTTATACTTTTTCATTTTTTATTTTTATCTATACCTATTACCTATTTATTTATTTATTTATTTATTTATTTATTTATTTATTTATTCATACATATCTATTCAAAAACCCATTTATTTATATATTTATTATTTTATTTTTGTTGCTTTATATTTTGTTGGTAAATTATAGTATATTATAGCCGATGTCATATGAAAAAAAAAAAATAGATAAATAGATTTATTTATTGTTATTTCATAATAATTACAATTTAACAAAATAATAATAATAAAAGCAAAATATATAGTCTCCAAAAGCCTGAGTTTGTGGGAAGACAAGAGTTTATAATATTTTTTAAATTTGTATTATATACATAATATTATCACTGTTTAGAAATTGAAAAACAGTAACACATTTTATTGAATCTATAAATTTAATATGATAATATCTTATCTAGATAATTGAAAATGATCTGTATATTTTATCTGGATACCTAACCTTGGTTATTTTCCCCAACAGTTTACATTATCATTGTATGGACGCTGGCCTTGTGATATTTACTATCGTGATAATAACTGTCATCGTGCGGACGATCTACACAATTAACGGGAGACGATTCGATTTTTTTAACACAACACCCGCACTGAAAGTTATCGTAACACCATTATTATTATCTTTTTAAGACTTATTATCTTTTATTTTTTTTGACTTGTAGCTCCTATACACTATATTAAACGTAGTTATTTGTAAAGTTTATACTCGCGGATCGAACGAGCGATGGCTGCGACGTATGCGTTGTCCTTGTCGTCGATTATTTGTCAACGCACGCGCGACAAATATCCAATAAAAAAACCAACACGATGACGACGTAGGTGACATTTTTTGCCTTGTAACGCAATAAAATGGAATAAAACGGCGTAAAATATATTACGTATACACGGTAAAATCAAGTAATAAATAAAAAAAACAACCGCGGAAAAATCGTCGATGAAAAAAAAAAACGGAAATTTTATTTCTCCTCGAAGACCGCCGCCTCTCGCCGGTCCGTCGTCTGTTCGCGTTGTGATATTTCGTTCGGGTCATCGGGGAGGGGGAGGAGTGGTAGGAAATAAAAAAAAAACAAAAAAATCGCTCGTTGCAAAACCGCACACAACGACACAATCGCGCAATATTCACAATAATAATATTATTATAATAATAATGACGTGTTCCTTGTAAAAGCAATACGCGTGCAGATTGAGCGCAGCAACAGGTGCTCGCCGCCGCCCGGCCGATTTACGACGGCCACAAATCGTGCAACGTTACGAGCGATTCGGCCGTGTTTGACTTGTGGTGAAAAAAACATAGTCACAAAAAACAAAATAAATAAATATAAATAATATCATCGGTATATTATCATACGAAAGAGAACGGGTCGCGCGCGACCGCTTGAGAGCGTTTGCCGGGTATACACGTAGGTAATAATAATTCGACTGCGCGCAGACCGGACTTCGCGCGAATGCCGATCGTAAAAAAACGTTATGTGCGTGCAATGGAAGTGGCCGGCCGCCGTCGATTCTTTGACTTTGTTTATGTCGAAAAGTGGAAAAAAAAAAACTAAAAACTAAAATAACAATAAATACTCGAATAAACGACGATGGATTTTACGATCGTAATTATTGTGTTTTTTTTTCCCCAGGACGGTTTATTAACGAGACGACAAAATATACGTACGTACGTTATTATAAATTACGGAATCGTAAAATTACGTGTTTATTGCGGTCGGGGTCGCTTTCTGGAAGCGAGATATCTCGCACCGTCGTTGAATAGAATTGTAGAAAAAAAAATTAAAAAAAATACAAAACGGTTTCTCGTTAAAAGACTCAATGAATTTTCGCGAATAAAAAAAAAAAATCATATCGCGTCATTTTTCGCTAGTTACCTACGGTGAATTTACGATCGTTTGTCATCTTTTTCGGCCGTTTTCGCGCTGCCTGAAATGATATTATCATATTTCGCGCGCGTATATGCGACGACTGCAATTGAACCCAATAAACGGTCTGCGGTGGTCCGTTTAGCTTTTCAAAGAGAAAGAGGGAGAGGGTGCTACAGTTGGTTCGACAAAAATATGACGTCTGACCCGTTAAATCCCGTTCGAAATATATATATATATTGTTTTTAATACAGTTGGATAATAAAAACTATAAGGCCGGGCCAATACCGATATTGGTATACTATCGGTTTATCGCGGGTATAGGTATTTTATTTCGAACCGATATAATGAATAATGCAAGTCGCACATCAACTTGTATGTAACGATGATGGTGGTCTTAACGATAACGATGATACCGAGGAGTGTTGATATGTGACAAGACACATATAGACACATATGAACATAGATACACAGACATATATAATATTATAATATATGTCTATGTGACAAACTGATGGGTTCGTTATAAATATTACCAACTTAATACCGCGCACATTAGTATCATAATAGTGTGTTATCATTATCAACGTATAAGGGAACCCTAAAAATCATGACTTAAATATATATTTTATATCTTAACCCGTGATAAATAATTATCATGATTAATAATATATAAACGTATATACATATGTACGTACGCATATTGTAACATAAAATACTTTTACTATTATATTTTGATTTTTACACTACACTCGTACTACAATTCGGTAACTGGTAAAAATATTCAGTTTAAAATATCAAAGTACAAATGTATAATAATTAATAAATAATCATGTTGTTATTCGTACACATATCCATATACATTTAAAGAAATTCTTAATTACTCAATTACATTTTAATTTATAATACAATATCGGAAGACAATAAGAGATTTTTAAAACATTATTATTTATATTTTATAACTAGGTATTATTGTTTTAACTTTTTTTTATTATTATAATTATAATATAATATAATATAATCACAGATATTGTCTTGATGTATTCACTGACGAATATGATTTTTAAATATTGTATTATTTACTAAATTGTAACCGAGTAGTCAAGAATTACTTTGAATGTGTATGGATATGTACATGAATGATGCATACAACATGATTATTTAATTATTATACATTTATACTTTGATATTTTTTCCTCGGGTATTATCGATCCGGATATTTTTACCTAGATTCCACGCGTACACATTTAATTTTATATCTAAAAATCATATTGTCTACAACCAAAAAAAAAAAACAACTAAATAACAAGATAAATTAACATATTGACAAACATACTATGTAGGTATTGTGATTTTTATATAAAATCGTGTTACACCTTTACCTATATAAATGTACCTATGAATGGTTAAAGTTTAAAATTTATGTGATAAAAAAAAACTATAATATTCCCTTATGCATTGATAACACTCTATCATGATACTATTATGTGCCGTGATAGGTAGTATTTATAACGACCCAAACTGATGAATATTAAATAGTTACGTCTTGAATATTAATATTTTAATTATTTTAATGTGATAATTTATCGATGGTATCAATTATCCTTGCAGAAATCTAAGCTTTGTATAGATAGTCTGTAGATAAAATGCCTCGATTAAACGCAAAAGATATTGACAATTTAATTCTAGGTGCATTATAAGCACTATAACTTTGTTGTAAAAAAAATATCTGAGCGGAATATAGTTGGTTTTGTTTGTACAATTATCAGTATTCCTAATAAGCGGCTTCTACCGTATAAACGTACTTTAAGATAATATTTTGACGAAAATTGGAAATATTACTGCATTTTAAAACCTGAATAGCCAAACTTTGTTTATAATTGTATTTCTTGCAACGGTTTATCATAGCATACAATTAATATACTTTTAATAATTTATATATCCTAACTTCCCACCTTAACAATGACGTATTAATCAGCAGTATTTTTTTTTTTTTTTTTTAATTTTATGTTAACGTTGAAGGGCATTTAGATATTTTTTTTTAAATGAAGTACCACCGAGCAAAATATCTACATTAAAGTTTGGAACACATCAAAAAAATGCATATGACATGAAAAATCGGAACATTATTACTTATCCAAAAATAGTATTCCGAAAAAACTAAAAAAACTTATTAAAACCAATATAGTTTGTTCGTGACACTTGGAGTTCAAATAAAATATAGAATGCCAGAGAATAACTTATTCTATCCATAATGTATCTTTGGTCCCGGAAAAGAAGGGCTTGTATATTTTCCGATACAGGCAAATTAAATGTTGAAAATACTTTATTACTTAATTACATTATTTAAAAACTCACTTTAATGCAATTTAAACCGAAAATTGGCATTATAGAAAAACGAAAAAAAAAATGCCACAAACTAAGCGCTTCTTCCCCGGGACCAAAGTTATATTATTTTCTCTTATCTTCATCTAGACGTTTTGAAATCCGTTTTTATGTACAAGTCCAGGTGGGCATCAGTGCCAAAAACCATTTGTATAATAGTTGCTACGCGTATAGGATATTCCCCTACGTTGCGGAGAAATCACTTTTATAAGTCGTGTGTGATAACAATAATATTGTATAATATCGGTCGATCTTTTTCGTACTAGTCCCTATTATTATTAATATTTGCCGGTGCTCTCGCGTAACACGTCCGCGTGTCACACGTAACATAGGTAAGTACCCGTCTATACGTCGTGTTACGTGCTGTAACGATATGTATACGGGGACCTGACAGCGGGACGGCACGTCGGTTTTCCACGTTTATACATATGTATAAATACGTAGGTACGAACACAGCACAACTAAAAAAAAAAATACATATATACATATAAATACGTTTAAAAACGATGGTCGGTATTATATATATTATTATTGCACAGTGTTGTGTCGCGAAGACACGAACACTATATTATAATATTG